TAAGAATAGCAGCAGTACTTTCACTGTAATGAGTGTGTCTGTAACTGCTCGCCAGATCACTAAGTGGGCTGTTCATAGCATGAATCCACTGTAAGTCTTTATCTTCTGACATCATGCTGTTCCTCATTCCTTTTTTGTTGTAGTCCTTTGGTTAAACTGCATCAACTCTACTGAGACTCAGTGGCAGAGATGATAGTATTGTTGGTGTTTCCAGTTCAGTGTTTCAAAGGGGCTTTGAGCTTGTTTTCTTTCTACTGTGCAGAAACCATTTTTTCCATGTAGCTTAGACCACTCTTCCTGTGAACAGGGACTAGCTTTGGTATTTCTCAGAACTGTCACATTCAAAGCAGTTCAAACTCTGCTTGGTATAGTACTGTATCTGGGTTTTTTAATGTATACTGTATGGTCACTTTTTCAGATTTCATTTTATTTTTAAATAAAAGGTTCTTTTTTTTTTTTTTTTAAGCAGGGTGAATTTTGTACCACTGTTTTTACTTTTCCTGTGGAGTGTTAAGGATTCTATCAGCAATTCAATTTCCTAACTAAATTGGGAAGGTAAAAAAAATTAATAGATCCAGTGGTTCTGCAGGACTTCTGTTAAATAGTGGGGTGAATTAATGAGTCAATATTTATGTATTGCATAAACTAAAAGTGAGACTTATTGGTAGTTAGAATAAGAAGTTGAAGAGAAAATGTTCCAATCTCTTAGATATACAGCATGGAAAAGGTAGGAGTATTAAATAAAATAAATTTTTAAAAAAGGTTTTTATGAGAGCTTTGTGAAGACTTGAGAATGTGAAAAGGGGGAAAATAAAAAACAAGGGGTACTTTTAACTGTGCTACTATCCAGAAGGTGTCAGTTTGAAAATCAGTCACTTTAAAAATACGTTAGAAATAAAAAACAAGGAGTACTTTTAACTTTGCTGCTGTCCAGAAGGTGTCAGTTTGAAAATCAGTCACTTTAAAAATACGTTACATTTCACATATATGGCTTCCCATAAGGCCCTTCTCAGCTTGCTTTTTTTTTGGCGACAACTACAGTTTCCTCATTTTATTTAAGTTCTGGGGTTTTTTCTCTTCCTTCTCTTTCCTCTTTCTTACCTACATGACATGGCTCTGTAACTCTCTTTTTTTTCTCCACTTAGAATCTTATGCATAATCGCTGAAACTTAAAGTACTGTTCTTTTTGGTTTGGGTTTTTTTCTGTTTGGTTTATTGTAGTCAGTAGTGATTTTAAGATTTCCTAGTATTAGTAGAAAATAGAGAAAAACCTGATGGAAAAGTTACAGTAGAGTAGGACTGGGTATGAAACTCGGTATTCTTCTGGGCACTTTGCTAAATCTTTTCCGTTGTTTTGTTAATAATAGCTCATACACCTACGCATTTCACCTTGAATTTCTGGTTTGAATAAGTTCAAGGGTATTTGTAAAATTCAGAAAAATTTGCTGATCCAAAATGCAGCAACATCCAACAGGATGATTTCCAAATCTGCAAGTGTTGTAATCTGTTTCTTTCTATTGTGGCAATCAAATAAAAGAAATGGATATAAATGGAGAGAAGAAGAGTGGATGGACAGTCTTCTGCAATTCCATGTTATGGGGACTCATTACTATCTTAACTTGTTCTAACTCTTGGCATGATCTTTGGTGAATATGTAGAGTTCTTATACCAATTTAAGAGATCATTCAGTGTGTTTTAACATAAAAAATTTTTAGCATATTTGTTGATTATGATAACAATTTTGTCTTCCTAAACCAAATCAATAAAAATTCAATAGAAAATGAAATACCAGTACAGGCATGTACTGATGACAACATGACTTTATCTTTTTTGTTGTTGTTGTAAATTACTGAGGAGGTTTGATATTTGAGAAAATGAAATACCAGTACAGGCAGTGGCTTGATGACAACATGACTTTATCTTTTTTGTTGTTGTTGTAAATTACTGAGGAGGTTTGATATTTTCCTTTTTAGACAGTTCTTACTACTCCTCATGATAAGAAGTTGTAACTGGTTACAACTCAAGTAATTTTTTGCCATTTTTATATTTCTATTCTGTAAAAATATAGTAAAGGAGGATTTCAGTTTGTCAAAATAACTTGTATGAGGATCTTTTCCTGAAAGCTGATGTCACTAGTGCTTTAAAAAATCTACCAAAAACATACAAATAACTGGAAATGATAAGATTTCCTTAGAAGATATTTTGATCTCCTAAATCAGAAAACAGGAAAACATAAAATTATTCAGCATTATTTAAACACTGATGAGATACTTGTCAGTATGAACTGCTGCTCCATTTTTTGTCACATAACAAAAGTGTCTTCACTCTGCCTGATCAAATAAGTGCCATTTTATCTAGCCTTTCTATGAAAATTGATGCTCCAAGTGCCAGGTGTGTAGGAAGCTACACAGCTGTTGATCCAAATAAATGAATTAAGATTCAGTAATCATATGCCACCCAGCTGAGTCTACAAAACCAGAATGTTGTGTACAAGGCTCTGTGTGAGAAGTGTGATACAGACAGAGTGAGTGAGCCACCCGGTGTGGATGTGTCAGCTGGAGAGGAAGCAGATAAGATGACTTTAACTCTCCACTCAGTCCTGTGTGATGCCTGTTCCTTGCTCAGAGCTGTGCAATCTCCATGGCTGGGCTATGGTTACCCTCAGCTCTGTCAACCACATCCTATTAAAACGTCTTTAAGAGTATCCACTTCTCAAATCTTTAAGTCTTTGATTTCAGGGATATGAGAGAAAAGTGAAAGTTCAGTTCTTGGTTTTGTGTGCCTTGTTTACTTACATCACAATTCTCAAAAAAACAGATACTGATTTTAGGGTTTAGTGACCTTAATAATTTATCCATGGAATAGTTACATGACTCAACATGCTCTATTAAATGAAAAGCATTAAGACTGAAGAACAGGAAACTTGCTGGTTTTCTTTTCTTACCAGTCTTTATAGTCATTAGAGTTGTTCCTGTCCTCAGTTGATTGCTTTCTTGTATCAACCTGGTCCTCATCTTGTAAGGTGCTGTGGTTGGTTGCCTTTGGCTGGCTACCAGGTGCTTACCAAGGTGCTCTATCACATCCCCTCCTCAGCAGAACAGGGAGAAAAATTACAATGGAAAGCTCAGAAATTGAGGTAAGAACATGGAGATCACTTGCTAACTATCTTTGAGCAAAACAGGCTCAACACAGGGAAATTAAATTAATGTATTGCCAGTTTATAAGATGGTAGGATAATGCAAAATAAGAAGAAAACTAATAAGACCTTACCCCACCCTTCCCTTCTTCCCAGGTTCAGCTTAACTTCCAACTCTTCTACCTTTTCGTACTCAAGTGGCACAGGGGTATGGGGAGTGGGGTTTACAGAGATAATGCTTTATCTCTGCTGCTCCTTCCTCTTCACACTGCTCCAGCATGGGGACCCTCCCAAGGGAGACAGTCCTGGGACCTTCCTCCAGGCTGCAGTTCTGCAGCAGCTGCTCCAGCCTGGGTCCTTCCCACAAGGTAGAGTCCTGGAGGAGCCTGCTCCGGTGTGGGTCCTTCATGGGGTCACAGGTCCTACCAGAAAACCTGTGCTGTGAGGGCACTGTGTCTCCACAAGCTGCAGTTCCCACCAGGAGCCTGCTGCAGTGTGGCACACTGTGGTCCTCATCTTCATTCAGGGCATGTCCACCTGCTGTGGCAGGAGGACCTCCACAGGCTGCAGTACGGATATCTGCTCTGGCATGGTCCTTCATGGGCTGCAGGGCAACAGCCTGCTTCACCATGGCCTGCAGGGGAATCTCTGCTCCAGCATCTGGAACATCTTTCCCTCCTCAGTACTGACCTTGGAGTCTGCAGGGTTATATTTCTTATATTTTCCCACTGCTCTTTCACAGCTGCTCTGCAGCATTTTTTACCCTTTTCTAAGTGCGTTGTCACAGAGGTGCCACGAGCATTGCCAATGGTCTCAGCTTTGGCCAGCACCAAGTCTTGGAGCCACCATGAACTCCTGTCCCTCTCTGACGTGGGGAGAACTTCCTTCTCACAGAAGTCACTGCTGCAGCCATGCTGCCCTCCTCCCCAAACCTTGCCACAAAGTCCAGTACGAGAACTGATAGGACCATTTACATGTTTAAAGGTTGGCCCTAGTTTGAACCCTGGTTTTATGTGTTCGGTACCACAGTTCTCAATCCTTTGCAGGCTTGAGCCTCTTAACAAGATGATGTTTCTAGTCCTTGTCTCTGGTAGCATTTCATGGCAGATACCCTTTTACACTGCTTCTTTCCCTGCAAAGGAACAGATTTATGAGGAAGAGGATTATTACAGGAGCTGTGTCTTCTCCATAGCTGAGCACCACTGGTGTGGGATCCTGTCCTCACACTGGCCTCTCGCAGCAAGCGCTGCCATCGGCGGTCATGCAGCGTGTACCCATTTTCCTTGTCTCAGTGTGCTTCCTCAGGTCTCTTGAGGTTAGGTAAGACTGGAGCTCTCTCAGTGCAGTAATAATTGAAAGAAAAATGGAGAAATACTGAGTCAAAAAGTTGGTCATGTACCTAACTATAACCTGATTTTGCAGTAGATAACACTCAAGAAATTCCTGTAGTATTAGTTATCTAAGCCAAAGAAAGAAGGCTTTCAAGATGAAGCATTCAGGAATTTCTCAACATCAAACTTTTTTTCCCTCTTTCTCTGTCACAGGCTCCATTTTTTATGTTTAGGATACAACCATGGTTTATTTGCAGGTGACTTTGTATGAAATGAAATTATAAAAGGAGGTAGTTGGAACTTCTGATGAGCATAGATCTGAAGTGTGTGTTTTAGCATATACAGCATAAGGGTTCTGAACTGTTATTAGTTCTAAGGTACAGATTCACATTTTTGTAAGTCATGAGCAATTGTTTTAAAGTTATTTGTAAACACAATATAAAATAGCATTGTGTATCTTCTGGTTTCGACCATTGCTGGCTTTGAAATGAACTGAAATGAACTTCTTGTTTGTGGATTTTTTTTCCTTTCAGATGGAGCAAACCTGTGATGATATAGATGAAATGTTCAGCAATTTACTTGGGGAGATGGACATGCTGACTCAGGTAATTTTTTATTTTTTTTCCCATCAAGGTTAGAAAAATAGTTAGTATGTATTAGAGAAAAGAGGGAGCTATTCTACATTTTTCATGCACTTCCACTCTGAATAAATACAGTTACTTTATTGTGGTAAACCTTCAGCTAAATGTCTCTGCTTGACAGTTGAAACAAGTGGCCCAAAGAGTAAGGTAATATCAGTACAGGGTAGGTTGTTCAAGAGACCTAACTGCTTGTGCAAGACATTTTCTGAAAAAAAAAAAAAAAAAAAAAAAAAAAAAAAAAACCAGCAATTTAAATTTGTCTGGATTTGATCCAAAGAAATTAAAGGATTCTGTGAAAACAGGAAGAGTTTGAGTCTGAATTTGCAGGTATGAATGCTTAGCATACGTGGGTAAATGGGATGTAGCCTGAGTGTCAAATGTGAACTTTGGAAATGAAAGCAACATTTTGAATATATGTTTAAAGGATTCTTTAGATATGGCAAAATATTAAGCTGCAGTGAGGGTGGCATTCAAGAATTCATGGAGACTTTGTTCCCAATGCAGAATACACTCTTGAGAGTATAAAACAGCATGAGCCTTTTTCTAAACCTCTAATCATTAAATACTTCCTGCAAAAGCTGATGAAAGGAGAATTTTTATTTCTAGAAAAAAAAAATCTACAAAGGGATTACATTTGTTGTATTTTAATAAATGCATGATTGAAAACACTTAAGTTGTCATCTTAGATGTGTGAGTTTGGTTAGAGCCTCTGTTTTGAGAGGGTCTTTCTTCTTGGTGAATGTCAGTGCTTGACAAAATAAATACCAATAATTCTGAGGTACAGAATAGAAATTGTGTTTAAGCTGGGTGAAAGCCAAGATTTCACATGGTGTTGTTAGCTGTCAAATCACAATACCTTGTCCCTCAGTAGCCTTTCTGCTCTTTAGGGCTTTTTGTAAATGTGCATATTTATTTTATGTATTTATATATTTATATATGGAGGGATTTATGGTAATCTCATTTCATTATTATGCCTTCAAAAGAACAAAAGTCTGCTTGTGATAAATTTTACCTCCTCAGACTGGACACAGCAGTGTTACAAAGAGTGTAAGAGAGTGAGCCTCTTGTCTCTGTGCTCCCTGGTGCAGTACTGGGTGGGACAGAGTGTTCCTGAAATTGAGACAGGCTTCTCTTCCTCTCTAAAGTCCTGGCATCACATCTCACATCAGCGTGGTGTGGGAGAAGGAGGCAGGGGCGTCTGAAAGCCTGAAGACTTTCAGGTAGCTGAACTGGATCTGTTCATTCCCTCAGACTCTTAACTTTCAAAAGAAGACTGTAGATAGTTTTCCACACATTTTCACCAGTCTATCAGTTCCTAAAGTAAGTGTAAACGATAGAAGCACACAGAGATACCTCTAGATGGCATAACAGGGCTGAAAAAAATGAAAATTCATAATTGGCCTTTTCTGCTGCAAATTAGGAATTCTGTATTTACACAGGTTTACAGTTTACATTGCAATAGCATGGGTTTTTGTTTGTTGTATTTGGTGGTTTCTTCCACATCCTTCTTCAAAAAACCCAAGAAGCTGAAAGTCAGTCTGGCTTTGCCCACTGTCTCAATTGGAAACAGTCCCGTTCTCTGCTGTTCCCCACACCAAGCCCAGGTGTTGGCTGAGAGGAGTTGCTGCCATCAACACTGGATTGAGAACATGCAAAACCCTTGCCATGATTGTGAGACAATGCTTGAACCCTTGTCCTGGCCCTAGTTAGTCTTCCAGTCCAACATAATCTCAGAGAGCAGTGATTGTCATTCTGTTCTTGAAGAAGAATTTATTTCATTAGATAAATTCAGGTAATTGATTTTCAAATGTTAATGTATGTAATAGTAATTATATCAACAGATACCTGTTTTGCTTCTACCTTAACAGAGTTTAGGAGTGGAGACTGTACCACCTCCATGCCCCAAAGTGTCCAACAATGAATTGAGCTTTACAGTTGGTTTTAAAGATTTAAATGGTAAGTAGCTGAATGGACTCTTTCATGCCTTTTATGCTTGTTTAAAATACCTCACAGCAACAAATGAGAAGAAAATCTTTACATACCCTTGGTCAAAAACCCAATACCAAACAAAAGAACCCTGTTTTACTGGAGGGGGAGGTATGTTTTTGTGTCTCAGTTTAGGAAACTTCAAAGGGAACAATTTTGGGAGGGCATTACTCAGTTTAACTAGAAGTCAGACTTTTAAAAATGCCTGAGGGTAGAGGAAAACAAACTTGAGTAGTCTCCCAAATAACTTTCTGAAATGTAACCTTTTTAATGTAAGGATTTAACCTGGTGAAAGATGAAGTTCCTCAGTGTGATGTCAGAGCTGCGTAAGCATTTCTGTCCAGTGGAAGTGTCAGCTTCAGCTGCTTCCACTTTTCAGTGCTTATTCTCATTTTGGTTTGCACTGTCACTTTTCCATGTACAGCTGCTTGCTGAGACTGTATGGCAAACCAAATGAGGGTATTTGTCTGAGTTTGAAGTAAAAACCCTCCCTTTGATTTTGGTTGTGATTGCGTTTTAGATTTTTTGGGGGGATTTTTTTGGGTTATTTGACTGAGAGCTGGTTGTTTGCATTACCTTGATTTGGTGTTAACCTCTGGGTTTGTCCCAGGATCAGTTCCCTGTTGAGCTTCCTAAAGACTCTATCAGCAAAGTGGGTAGAACTGTGTTAATGGAAAGGATCATAAGGCAACTTTCCCACCGTAAAGAAAAACTTATTAAGTACTATATTAACATAACAGGGATAAAAACTTATTAAATACTATATTAACATATCAGGGAGAGCAGAGTAAACTGACATGGCCTTGTGACATGTTCACACTTATGAATTACTATTCTTTGTTGGACTATATTAGCATTTTTGAGTATCTAATTCAGTGCTATCCATCCCTCTCAAAATCTCACTTAAAGGTTTTCCCAGTTATTTGTTTATTTATTTCTTAACTGGCCTCTTTTAAGAGATGTCAATCACTGACTCTGTTCAATCTTAAAGAGCCCTTCTCTTCCAGAAAGCTAAACCATCCTACAGGGGTTTACTCCACAGTATATCTTTACACCATGGCTAGTTCAAACAACCACAAATTACATATGAGGCTCTGGTGTAGGATTTTGTCTTCTACTCTGTCAGAGTAGAAACCAGAAAGAAAAAAGTTACAATGTTTCTAGCTGGTTTGTAAGACTCTTTTAACAGACTTTTTTGTTTGTTCCTTACTTAAAGGAGCCTCAAAAGCTTGTGTGATGTACCACCCATGTGGTATGTCACAGATCACACAATTTACTGCTGTGCTACAGATGATACCATGCAGTTTCTTGTCTCTTCATATTCTTTGATTCTGCTTCATTTTAATTTTAGAGTTGTAGAATAGCGATAATATGTGGAGGTATTCTTGATCTAGGCCTCAGTTACATGGTTTGTTGTGTGCTGTCCCAGGACTTGCTAAGCATTTATGTATGTGCTTACAGCCTAAGGGGAGCTCATGGAGTTTTTTGCATTCATGTCACTAAGCATGAACCCAGTAACCTTGCTGGATCAGGGCCATGCTTGCAACATCATAAGGGCCTGAGACTGTATCACTGGAACTGAAGCTTCCTGTCCTGTTTAGTTTGTGTTCGTAGAGTTCCTTGTACTCTGAACTTCAGTATGACCAGATTAATGGCTGTTTCGAAAGCACATTTGTTTCTTGAACCCATGTAAAATGTTGTTTCCTTTCCCATAACCCTGTAACCATGCCTTCTGCAATTTAATCTCTGCTGAACTGGAAACAGTGCTTTGCATTGCCCTCACTCTCTGACACGTTTTGTGGTTTTCTTTACAGAATCGCTAAATGCCCTAGAGGACAAAGACCTGGATGCATTAATGGCTGACCTTGTAGCAGACCTTAATGATGTTGAACAGAAAACTTTACAAGCCCAGAAAACATCTTGCAACCAGCAAAGTACAGTCACTCAGCCTTCAACAGGCTTGAATAATGACATTTATTCTAAAGTAAGCCCCTATGTTACCATTACTGGTCAGTCCTGGGATGATTTGCCCCCTCCACCTCCACCTCCAGACCCTGAGTCAGAACTTCCACCACCACCGCCACCACCTCCTCCTGAGCCACTTACTCAGGTAAGTCTGGGTCAAACCTTATTTTAAACCTTCACTAGTTCTTGCCATTTTGCAGTGGTATTTGGCACTGGAACACCAGTGGGTCTCCCAGGTAGATGCATCTTGGAAAGGTTCTGCAGTGATGAAACGTGCATGAACTCTGGAGTGAAATTTCTACTGTTGTGACCTCAACAGTTTCTGCCTGTTCCTTGACCTATTGCCCGTTCCATCATCTTTCTAATCATCATTTTGATAGCCCAGTACAGGCATAATCATTGCATATGGTTTATTGCAACAGGAAATTTATCACTGAATTCTTCTAAGAAGCACTGATAAGTCAGTATCTTCTTATAGAGAGCTTGGTTTTGGCATTAGTGCAAAGCATGGCCAGTGATCTCCATTTTGTGAAGATGTCACTATGTGTCTTCATTGCAGTCTGTGCTATTTGTACTGATGAGAAAATTCTGTGGATGTTTCTCAGCTACATCCCTGACCTAAGTGATTTCTTGCAGTAGGAAAAGCAGTTAATTTGTGGAAAACTCAATATTTGCTAGGTGACCAGGTCCAGGGACAAGCACAAGAAGTATCTCTCCTGGTCCTAACATGGAATTACTGTTCTTCTTGGTCTTGCCTTTGAAAGGAAGTAATGAAGACTATCTACAATAGGGGACAAATGCTCCTAGGAGGTGCCAAAGTTATCAGTAGATAACTATTTATAACTATTTATGAGCAACTGGCTTACCTGTATCTAAAATTTCAGACTTCTCACAACCTTCTCCATGTTTGTGTTTCTTGCAGAGCTGTTTTAACAACCGAAATAAGATGTGATATTTGTAGTATGTTTTTGACGTGAAGTGGTAGGGAGGTAGATAATGTGAGAATTCTGCCCTGGCACAGCCCTGTGAGAAGAGACGGCATTAAAAGAGTGATGCAGCCCCCCAAAAAATGAAACTGAAATCATTAAATACACAAATACATCTCTTTCAGTATTCATGTTCACAGTAATTATGATTGAGAGAAGATGTTTACATTTAGGGAACATAAAATGTGTCAGTCAATTTTGCTTAAAACCATGGTCAATTCATTGCTGTTTAAAAGCCCACGTGAACTGAATATGAATCACCTCAACATCACTGATGCCCCTGTGTTTGGAATCATACAGCAGACATATTCAGCAAAAGCAACAGAAAATTGGATAGGAAAATTGGATATGTCTGACGATATAAAAAGTGATTCACTAGATAAAGCTTCATTTGATGCATAGGACCTTTCAATACTGTTTGAAGAATGAAACTCATAAACATAAGGGAGAAGCTTTGCCATTTTTCTGCATCTCAAAGATAATAGTTTACTTCCTGTCTTAAAGGAATATCAACATTTGCAAAATACCATCTAAACAGCTTCAAAAGCTGAAGTATTTTATGTAACTAGTATGACTGATATAGAAGAGATCAGATGAGTTCTGTCAAGATGAGTTCTATCCATTTCTTTCAAAAATTTTCCCATCTTGATTTAGACTCAGACTTTAAGGAAGTACCAAACTTCTAAGTAGTCTGGTTTACCAGCTGACAAGTATGGTCTGGAAGCTAGTTAGGTGGGCTGAGACTGGCCAGACTCAAGAGCTAGTCAATGATTTGCTGTCTAGGAGCAAGTAGGATTAGCACTGGGGTTTACATTGTTTAACATTTTTGTCTGTGACCTGAATGATGACATAAAAACCCATCTGCAGCTGTGCTGAAGATGCTTTTAATTAGGGGCACTGACTGTCAAGATCACTGGCAGACCTTCAGCGCAAGGGAACTTAAAACATGATGACTGGCCAGCAAAACTCTCAGAAACCCTGCAAGGTACAAGGTCCTGCATCTGGGGTGTACTTACCATTGGTACAGTCTGGGAAAGGACAGGCTGAGCAGCAGCCCTGCTGAAAAGGAGATCCTGCTGGGTACCACAGGGTATAAGAACCTTGAGTGAAGGATCATCTCGGAAGAGGAAACTGGCCTCCGTTGGGAGGAGTATGGCCAGCAAACTAAGGAGTTATTGTTTCTTTCTCTTGGCACTGGTGGTCCCACTGCTGGAATGCTGCACTCCATTCTGGATGTGGAGATACTGGAGAGTGTCCATCAGAGAGCTGATGGAATGGCCAGAGGCATGCAGTGATCAGGGGCCAGAAAGGACAGGCTGAGGGAGCTGTGCCTGTCCAGTCTGACTGAGGAGGCTGGGGAGTGATCTAATGACAGCCTAAACATGCCTGAAGGATAGATGCTAAGCTGGTGGAGCCAAATTCTTCCATGGCAGTGTTAGGTCACCAACGTGGAAGGGGCAACAGCTACATATTGTAGCTTTGTAGTTTCAGAGAGGACATTAGGAAAATGTCTTCCACTTCAGATGGTGGTGTAGCACTGGAACAGGTGACCAAGAGAGATTCCAAATTCCCTTTCTTTGACAGTTTTCCAAGCTTTGCTAGGCAAAATCATGACTGACCTGATCTAATGTCGGTGTCATCCTGCTTTGGGCAGGAGCCTGACTGTGGACCCTCAGGCCTCTCTTCCAGGCAGTGCTTTTATTGATGCTGGGATCTAAAGCTCACTGAAATCAACCATGATGAATTTCTTTCCATTGAATATTGTACTGAGCTAATTCTTTATTAACTGACATTATTGTACATTACCTGAAGATCAAACAAGATTTTAGAGTGGAAAGAGTATATACTTGCTAAACATAACTGGAATTCGATATGAAAAAAAATGTAGCCAAAAATCGCTTCTCCCTCAGTTGAACTGTTCCTCTGAGACTGATTTCTAATGATATTCTGGTCTCTTTCCAGATTTGGGGAGTGTCAGAGAAGGATAGGAACAGGTTGTAGAAGCATTTCTAAGGAATATACTTTATTTCCTCATTTAAGGCATTGGTTTGGCTTTTTCCTGCAGCCTTTGCCTCATTTTATGATACAGGGTGTACTCAAATACTAATGGCATACCCACTGTGGCTTACTGTCCACAAAATTGCCCACAGGGCTATGACACAGGTTGCAGTGTGAATGATGAAGGTAATAACCGTTTTAAATTAATATGGAAAGAATCAATTTCAAATTACTATTCATTGTCTTGATTAGTATTTGCTTTGACATTACATTTCTGCTCAGTAGAATGAAATTCAGCTGTAAGTGGAACGTATTTTTTGTCATCAAAAACCACGTTCCTGTTAGCTAGATTCTTGATAACTGATTCTTGAGCAATCAAGGCGGAAGTTGTGTTTAACACTTCTGGTTACCCACAGTCAAATAAGAGCAGTGTTAGTAGTTCCCAATGCAGCCATGATATTAAGACCCTATTTTCTAACCTTTAGTGTGCCAAAATAAAGAAGTACAGCCTTTCTTTCAGGGAAGCATAGAGCTGTCTCATAAGTTTCCATCAACCTTGACATTTCTTTTTAAAACTGCCCTTAAGCTAAATAAGGCTTCATCATTTGCTATTGACATAATGACTTTATGTGCTTCTATTTAAAGATCCAGAAAATGTGGTGATGATCCTGTAGTGGGAAAACAAATCCTGTAGCTTGTAAAAACATTTCTCTAACACTGCTAAAATGTTGCATATTAGGAAACAGCTTATTTCCTTTTTCTGCATTAAGTCAAAGCTTATGAAACCTTGAAGGCTGTCAGGTGAGAGCTCTGTTGCACAGATTTATACAGTGTGAGAACTCTGTTCAACACAGACCACATGCAGATGAAGCCTGAATTATACCTGCCTAAAATTCTCATGAGAAAGCCTGCCCACACCACACTCAACCACTTTAGTTAGGATGCTTTTCCTGCTTGCTGCATAGAGGTGGTAAGGGGAGGGCCACAGCGTGAGAGGCTGTGTGCTTTTCCTTCTGTACACCCGTCAGCCTCACTGCAGCAGCCACCTTTGTGCAACTGCTTGTGTTCAACTACAGAGGCTTTTTTTGGATTCTCTGAGTTAAGCACTGCTGAGCTGTAGCAATGCAAATTTCCACACCTGCAGAGAAAAAAAAAATATATATATATTTTTAACTGATTGCATGGTATTTATAGTGGAGAATTTGATAACAGGAAACATGCTTGAAGCAGTGATAAAACAAAAGATGTTTAGTTCAGCAGGAGGGGTGTCAGTCAGGAGTACTTTAGCTGCTGTTGAATATGCCCCAAAACTTGGGGTGAATAAGATAAACTTCTTTCTCTTTCTTTGCTGTGATTGTATGGTATCTCAGTAACAGGGAAGTGATGGCAATGCTTAGTTAGGCTTAGTTTCCTGCAAGTGCATCTTCCATGAGTTGTAGTCAGTTCTCTTGGTGTGAAGACCACTAAAAATTATGACTTTAGGATAGCAAATGGAGGCTGAAGGCAACAGAAATCTTGTGTGGAAGCAGAACAGGAACTTTCTCCCAGAGTCCTCGACTGTAAGTTTGTAGTCTGTGAGTAGTGTAGCACAAAATCCTACCCCTTTTAAAAAAATGAAACTGTGAAAGTAAGAGAGCAACAGGGACAGCAAAAATCAGCAGAGAGGCAAAACAGCAAATACAAGACAGTCTTCAGTAGAGGCAACAGGGATGTTAAGTTGGAAAGAAACTGAACCCTCCAGTAGTACTGGAAGAGTCCAAGGCAGCCTCAGGAACCACAGTCACTTGCTGTCCAAAACGTGCTTTTCCAACTCCAAATGTGACTGGACGAGAGTTCTGGAAGAGAGATGGTATAAAGGAACAGTCCCAATCTGTACAGCAGTCAGAGAGGCAACACCAGGCACCTGGTACTACGTTTAGTACATGTAGCTAAAATTCCTAGCCCCTAGGGATCCAGAGTCTTCTTGGACCACAAATGTCATTGATATTAAGAGAGAGGCATGGTATTGATAGAGTTGCTTTGTAAAAGAAGAGCTGGGTGATACTGAGATTTTTGGGATTCTTACTGTGGAATGAACTTGTGTGCTCTGACTGTGTCTCTGCTAATATGAATAGAATTCATAGAATAAAAGCCAGCTAATGGAGGTGTTCCTCTCAGTAAGTATCTGTGCAGTAAGAGATCATATGTTGCAAGTCAAAAAATTCAAGTAAATTAATATACTGAACACAGAGTATAAAATTATAAGTGGTGTAATTGCAAGCCAAAATTTCAGTAAAATCCTACAAATTCTAGTTCTCTTACCCTAATGAGAAGCGAGTTTTCTTCCAAGGAGCTGCATCCACAATGCTATTTCACTGAGGCTAAATCTTCCTTCACCTTCTCTTTTGTACCAGCTGTATGTACAGAAACATAGAAGAGTCCAGTTTTCAGGCACTCTTGTAGCATTTGAGGAACAGATCAGGTAAGAACTATATGGCTGAGCACCAGCAGGGAGCACTGGACTTGCAAATCAAAGCTTTGGCTGAAGGATATTAGGTCAAGGAAGGCTGGAAGTTATCTGTGTGTATGAAGTTTGCTGTGACAAGCTTTATCTTCAGGATATAAGTATCAAGAAACAACCCTTTTCAAGTAAATGTAAATTGCTGAGATGACTTAACAAAAAATATACCAAATGTCTTGTGTCTTTTCAGGAAGAACTAGAGGCAAAGGCTAAAGCTGAAAAGATTAAACTTGCCTTGGAGAAATTGAAGGAAGCCAAAGTTAGAAAGGTGAGCCATAAAACAGTAAATGCTACCATTAGAGCTACCACCTAAATATCTGTTAACATTCTTCTTAATAATAAATTTCTTACTAAAATGACTAGGCTTTTCCTTATTTTATCTGTAAAGATACTCTGTGAAGCTCTTGTCATCCACCTCAAGAGAAGTGTCTGGGTGAATGCTGCCTCCAACAGACTTATTTTTTAGAGGACTTGGAAAGTGCTGCCTTTTTTTTCTTTTTTTCAGTGTTGATAAGTTGATAACCCACTGTGCTGATAAGTTGCTTTAGAGAAAGCGGAGTATACATGAAAATGTTTCTTACTTATGTTGTGCTGATTCCAGGAGTATTAAACTTTTCTTCATAGTAGATGTGGATTTAGCTAATCCCTATTAAATTAATGAGGGTCTTCTTGCTAAATCTTTTCAAAGCAGTTGTAGTAATGTATAAGCATATTAGAAATTATTTTAGACCAACAAATTAGAAGCTGCAGGTGTTCAGTAACTCTGAATAATGGATGTGAACTAAAAACAGTCATGACCTTTCAGTCGTGCTCAAAGAAGATGGGAAGTGTTGGAGCCTGCAGAGCTTCCAGGAAGAATGGAAGTTTCCAATAAATTTGGGAATGTCCAATCTTGAGATGGTTCCCACAGAACATTTTATGTTCATCTACAAATGCTTCTTCTGAGAGAATGTCTTGGGAGGATTTCACCGATGTTGACTTTGTAAAGCTCTGTAACTAAAGTTATGACTGCTCACTGGTCACCCTCTTTTCCTTGTAGTGTTAGCAATTCTCCTTTGGGAGACTTTTTCTTTCCCAACTTCCCCCCCCACCTCCCCCTGCATACTTGGAACCATATGACAGAAGTAAGTTCAATCTTGTGACTATGTCACTATAATGAAATTACTGTGTCATTCCTGAATTCTAAATTGACTAAATATTATCAAGAAACCTGGTTTTCTCTCTTTTACTAAAAGCAGAGGGCAGAGGGCAGGGATGGTGCTGAAATGCAAGCTCACAGCCTTGGACTTCAGGAGAGCAGACTTTGGCTTCTTCAAAGATCTTGGAAGAGTCCCATGTGGAACTCCATGATGGGAAGAAGGGATCAAGAAATCTGGTTAATATTTAAAGATCACCTCCTTCAAACTCAAGAGAGTTCCATCCCAGTGGAAGATATCAGAAAGTATTGTGAAGATGATCAGGATTATCTCCTGTGAGGAAAGGCTGAGATTGCCTAGGGAAGAGAGGGGTCTGTGTGGTGCTTGTCTATCTCTAGAAAAACCTCAAGAGAGGGCGCAGAGAAAGGAGACGGGCTGTCTTCAGTGCTGCCCAGTGATGGGACCAGAGGCAACAGGCACAAACTGAAACACAGGAGGCTCTGAACACGAGGAAACACTTTTTCACTGTGAGAGTGGGTGAGCCTGGCACAGGTTTCCCAGGCAGGTTGTGGAGTCCCCCCCACTCCCTGGAGATGGTAGCACACCATCTGGACAGGGTCCTGCTGTGGGTCTCCAGGTGGCCCTGCTTGCCCGGGCAGCTGAACTGGATGATCACCAGAGGTGCCTTCCAGTCTCAGCTGGTTTGTGATTCTATGAAGATGGAAGCTGCATGCATGTTTCTAAGCAGTCAGTTAGAACCAGACAGAAGCCCCCTTTTGCCTTAAACGTGTTAAATTATGCATGCACAACACTTCTTTTTCTGTATAATCTGCACTATAGCTCAGATGCTTATTTTAGAGAAGATTCTACTTATAGGGACTGGAATCAGAACAAGTTCATGGCTTTTGTTACATTTGTTTTTGCTTTTCAGAGACAGTGTAGCTTTTCTCTTGGGGATCATAACTCTGCTTCTGCCTGACCTTTTACACAGGTTGTCTCTACAGAACCAAAGCTTCTATGCACACATTTTAAAATAAAGAGCTATTTAAACAAAAATATGGAAAGTCCCCCCAACTCACCAGCAATGTGCAGACCTTGTAGAGAATTATTCTACTGTTTTCAGTACTAGTGGAGCATTTTAAGTACTTTCTTATAACGTACTTCCAGTTCTTTATCATATTTTAGGTACTTCAGCATTTTCTTGCATTGTTCCTCTCTGAAGAAAGTTCACTGTGTTTCTTGTTTAACAAATACTTCACCATAAAAAGAAGTAATGAGTGTCTTAGGTTAATTTGGTCAATTGGTAACTCATGAGGGGAAGAGGAGGGGATTTTTTCTCTGTGTTGGCCAGTGACAGAGCCCAAGGGAATGGCCTGGAACAGGCCCTCCAGGAAAGTGTTCGCAGCACCAAGCCTGACAGAGTTCAAGAAACATTTGGACAATGCTCTTGGGCACATGGAGCAATGCTCTTGGGCTTGTCCTGTGCAGGACCAGGAGATGGACTCAGTGATCCTGATGGGTCCCTTCCAACTCAGCATATTCTGTGAACTCATCTGTTTTCTTATTGATGACAGTTGGACTATGGCCCGTCTTAGTACAATCCAATTTCAGGTTATTTTGTTGGCATGGCAAAATCCTTCCATCCTTTTTCTGTTTAAAAGTAAATTTTCCACGTTTGTAGCTTGCATTGAGGACGCTCTGTCCTTTTGCACTTGGTTTCCCTATCAAGCATTTTCCTTAGTTGCACATCTAGTAGATTTAGAGAAGAGATTAACTTCTGCTTTTTCTTCATAGCAATTTCACCTTTCCTGAAGTCATACATAGGACAAGACTTAATTTTATTTTTAGAGAAAAGATCTTTATTTTGGTGAAAATTATAGTGTGAAAATTTCAGAGCTGTTTTATTCTCTCAGCTTGCTGTGGGACAGAATCAATAATGACCTTCAGCCTTTATCTTTCTTATCTGTGTTAGCAGATTCAGACTAGTCCTTTTGTTGCTTCTGAAATTAACTGACTGTTCTGTGACTTTGTTCTCAGCTTGTTATCAAGGTGCACATGAACGATAACAGCACGAAGTCCCTGATGGTGGATGAGCGCCAGGTGGCACGGGATGTTTTGGACAATCTCTTTGAGAAAACCCATTGTGACTGCAACGTCGACTGGTGTCTGTATGAGAAGTATCCTGAGCTGCAGATTGGTAAGTGCTGTAGTCACATAGCAGATAGATGGAGGGCTGGTAATCTTGAAAGATCCGGTAAGTGTTGGTAATGTTGAACAGATAGTAACATTTCTCCTGCCCATGTGTCCCCTGATGTTGGAACATCACAGACTCTAAGCTGAGGGGTGCTGCAGGAATATGTTTGATGTGTTCGTACTGTAGAAATGAGTCCATCCAGCTGTGCTGGGACCTGCAGAAGGCTCCTTGCTTTTCACCATTTCCATTATTTTATTTTACACACAATGAAGGAGCCATGTGAATTTCAAGGTGATGACAAACCCAAACACACCAGTACTCAAATCCACTTTTTGAAGAGAGGATGCAGTGCTGGAGTGCTGTCAGCAACCATGTATTACATATTGGTCAAACATTAAACAAGACTCTGTGAGAAGTGTTTCAGTAATTTCTAATGCTCTTCATTTGTGCTATTTCATTTTTTTAAGTGTAGCTGTGTACAGGGCACTGCTCTGTGATGGGGCTGCAGCTCTGCTGATGATGAATTATGACTTCTGGAGTAATTAACCAGGCCTCCAGGTCCTAGGAAACAGCTTGCAAAACTTAGGAATTGTTCTGTGCAACATAATAAGTCTTGTTTGGAAAAGGCTTCAAGGCTTCTTTCATTAAGAACACAGTATTCTCTAATTGTGAAATATTTTTTTATTTGCCAAACTGAAAAGGTATTGACATCAAAAGGAGAAGTAAAATTGCCGCAACTTTCTTTCAGAGTTGCATTTGACCTAGAGAAATGGAAAACTGTCAAACAGCGTTTAACATTCTGTTTACAGTCTCCCAGCAGAGATGGGAAAATTGTCAAAGAAAGTCAAAGATCAATATTGCACTCTAAATGAGCCCCAGGTGTAGTCATTCTGCTAAATTAAATGATAGAAATTTTAAAATAACTGGAAAAAAAAGCCCAACTGGTCATGAGCAAGGAGATGCTCATCTGCTTGTAAGAGTGGTACAGAAATTTACTGCCAATCTGTTCTTGCTACTTGATTAAGATAATGGTGCTGCATTCTGTTGAACTTGCTTATCTTAACTAAGAAAAGACTGGAAATGTCATGTGACCTTAGAAATCTGACAAAGGTCACTGAATAATTTGGAGTGTTTTCCTGTCTTAGAAATTTGCTTCCTTTTTGTCCAGTGTGACTTGGACAAACATGTCTGAGTATTAGGATGACATCACAATAAACATATGGTTGCTGAATCTCCATAGTCATTAAAAAGAATGTACTTGTGTTTCTTCATAATCTGGATAGATATTTGAATTTCCCATAATGCAGTTAAAACTGAAGGTATCAAGGAGATTGTTTTTTATAACCATAGGGGTAAATGGTTGGAGTTTTTTTGGTGGAAATTAGTTGTGCTACTTTAGTCCCAGCTAATGCTAGGTGATTTTGGTTAGTGTTAGGGTATTGGTATAGTAAGGAATTACTCTCATAATGAACAAAAATTATTTTAAAAGCCAGGAAAGAACAAAAATACTAAAGGAAGTAAACTTTTATCTAGTTCAAGAAAAAAGGAAAAATCTATTAACTCCTGATGTAGTGATCTATTACCAGGTCCAGATCTGCTGAGGATGGAGCCTTTTTGTTTGCAGAAGGCAGTTTCAATATGAATAGAATAGTACTTGTTCTTTTTTCTGCTTCCAATGCACAGCAACATGCAGTTAATTTTGTTCAAAATCAGAACAATGTGAGTCATTCTTTATTTTTGTCAGTATTCTTCTTGGCTGCTCTAGATAACTTTATTACTATCAGCACAAAGACAGAACTTTTCTGCACTTCATCTTTCTGCCTGCTTTCCACATTAGTATTAAAGAGAATAAAATTGTGTTTACTTTAAGAAGCAAATCTGAGCAGCAAATAATTCTTGCTGAATTGAAGGTCCAAGCTACTTTTGTATCGCAAGATCCTTGACAGGTTGTCTTACATATGTGGTTATTTTGAAAGACTGTAATTGTAAATAAAATAAACTACAGTTTAAATACTTGTTAAATACACAAATAATCTCAGTAGTTACATGGTGATGTAACACTAGGCTGTACATACAAGCATCTATTTTGCAATAAAGACCATTATAGTCTTATAATAGGCATCCAGATATGATGTTTTTAGGTAAATTAATTATTAGAAAGACCTTCCTGAGGATGATATAATCACATTTTTCATACAGGAGAAACCTGGTGCAGAAATGAACAAACAAAAATATATATGGCAAAAATTAGTGTTACTGTCTGAGAATTGTTTCATGCCTGTCTTGACCTATAAGGTACTGTTCACCCTTCAAACCATTACTGGGGTTTTATATAGGGCTTTCTATTTCCAGTGCATTGCAGAAGTACCAGTTGCTAAATGAGGAGTGTTATGTTGTTGGTGTTAAAAGTTACTGGGTACATGTGAATGGGTCTTGAAGCTAATCTCATTCTGTGAGTTTAATTAATTCACAAGATATAGGTTGGATAGGATGTGCTAAACCCTTGTCAAAAGTAACAAGTGTTAAAGAAAGCCTACAAAATGTATGCTTTGTTACTTCCTCTGATTCTGGGCCAGTCTAGGCCATTGGAAGATGTGATCACCAGAGACCACAGGAATAGGAGTATGGCTGTTCCCAGGAAACTGCCAAAATTCTACTGAAAATTGGAGCTGGGTGAATTCCCTATCCCAGTACTGAATTTGTAGAAAAGTGCAGGTTGGGACACTCCAAAATGACCTGTCAAGTTATGCTGAATTCCTTTTCCTTTAAAAGGGTTTTTATGTTGAGCAATCTTGTATAAATGAACCCAGAGTTTCAGTTACCTAATCTCAGCACACCCTGTGGCTGTCCTGGGTGAAGGAGTGGGGTTCAGAGCAGATCAGGAGGGGACAGAGCTGACATTAGGTTTCTCACATCTCTGCTACAGTTAACTACAGAGATGCTGGGTGAACCAGTATATCTTGATATCAGTTCTATCTTTGTATTTTTTCTACTTTGCTATTTGTGGTTTTAAATACAGTTACTTAAAACCAAACATTTTCTTTTCAGTGCATAGAATTTTTCCTGCTGACAAAAAGCAAATCTTCATTGTAAAAGAAGTAAAAAGACAAATAAATTAAGTATTTAGTTTTTTTTTTAATTAATTAGCTGAAGTTTATCTATATCCCTTCTTCCACCCCTCAGTCTGCAGTACTGCAAACCTTAAAAAAAAACAAAATCAATCAAAAGCCATGAAATACATGTGTGCAACTGTCTGCTCCTGGTGGGTCACTGCCTCCATCCTTTGCAGTCTTCAAGCAGCAGTACAGAGGTTCAGGAGGAATCCAGGAGCATGGCACAGCTACATAAGCTGTCTTCTGCAGCTGCTTTGCCCTTCCATGGGGCACAGTTTGTTGTGGTGTGTGGTGGGCTCTGCACCCATCTGTGCAGTGGAAAAGATGCTGGATTATCCAGCCCTGAGTGAGGGAACATCAGATAATGATTACATTCTTACACAGGAATTTCTGCATCCTCAGGAGAGGGCAGAAACAATTTCAATGTCTTACATTATTTTCTCTGTCTCTCCAGAAAGGTTTTTTGAAGACCATGAAAATGTTGTTGAAGTGTTATCAGACTGGACTCGAGACACTGAAAATAAGGTCTTGTTTTTGGAAAAAAGTCAAAAATATGCTTTATTTAAAAATCCCCAGGTAAGCTAACATGGTATTTGTATAAGAGTCTAAACTAAGGTCATTTAGTCTGCATGCTGCCTTTTACATTAATAATTTCTTTCAGCTCTGTCAGTTCAGAGAAAGCAAAATTTATATTTTCAACCACAAAACCCACAAGGATCTTGAATGCAAGGATTTGAAAATTGGAGTTTTCTGCTTTTTTTCTCATACTGTTTTAGAGTCCTGTCTGTAGAGGTAAAAACTGAAGCATGTAGTTCACCCCCAGTACCAGCCACTGCTTTGTTCAGCTCTTAGAACTGCATGAGATGGCACAGCTGTAAAAACCTGGCCTTTGTTATTACTACAGCTTCCCCACTATTTCTGCTGATGAACATCAGCATTTCCCTGAAGACCCAATTTTTGCCACTTGTCCATGAAACTTCATAAAAGTGTACACTGAATGCTACAGGGGATTTACTGGATTTTGTTTATGCTGAGAAGAATTGGGTTATCGGTAACTTGTGCACATTAACTTTGTAAAGGATGGTCTGCACACTGAATTGCATCAAATTATTCAGCTATGTGTATACACAAATTGTTGTATTTCTTGTGTTATATGGTCAAAGCTGTATTTACAAACATCCTGGAACATACAGTTGCTGGATTCTGGGACACAGAATCTTTTCCCCATGTCAGCTGACTGTTAGCTCACCGAGCATCTGGTTTGTTCCTAAGGGCAGCAAGAGAAAAATGAGCAATTCAGCATTGCCGAAAAGAAATTAGTCAAATATGTAATTTGGCAGAAAATCTCACCAAGCTGCTCATTAGGAAATTGTGGGTTTTTTTATAGAATGAGCCTATGTTTCCAATAAAACCTACAGAAAAGAAGCTTCCTTCGTTGATACAAGTATCCACAGTCAGGGAAAGAAAACTTACCCTGCAGTGCATGTGGATTAATGTTGATTTTTCATAAGAAACAGCAAAGCCAAGTTTGGAAATACAATATGGTGGCTCAAAGTGTCCTCCTTTCTAAAGCACATAAACCTACGCAGCAGCAGAGGTTCAGCTCCACCTTTGATTCATGCACTGTAGTGTTATTGGGGTAAGTGGTTTAGAGCAAGGCTCTAAACCTCAAACAGGAAGTAAAACTTTGATGAATATTCTTCTATGATGGATATTGCATTTTGGTTGCAATTAAATTTAGAAATAAATGTGACCTAAACCAGAACCAAACAAATTGTAGGTCTGTCCTCGTGTCTCAGCTGGATCCAGCCAAGTCTGCAGTCCTTGAGCTTTAGCCCCTCTGTGATAAGCTCTAAAATGAGCATTCTAAGCAAACCGGATCAGTTGTGGCTGTCACACTGTTGAAATATTTTGCCAGTAATAAAGTCTGACCATCTGTCAGGCGTGGTAAACTCAAACACTGTGAATGGGGAAAATAGTACAGTCATATCAGCACTTCATGGCAGAAAGTAATCAGCACTGTACAGAGCTCACACTAAATACTGAAACATGTTAAAATACACATCTGCAGTGAGTCCCTGAAAAGGCAAACCAAGTGGAAATTTGTTGTGGATTGTGGGGGGTAGGGTGTGTGATTACCTGGCTAACTACCTACAGAAACTGTGGTGTAACCAAAGGGAAACTGAAATCTTGTGCTTTGGGACTGTGTTCTCATATGTTCAGCCTCCTTCTGGCTCAGTCAAGGCTGCCATATAAAACTCATTTGGGAGTACACAAATTGCAGAATGCTTTCTCTGACACACCCAGTGGTGCTAATGCTATGCAGCAGCTCAATTCCTTGTTTATTTAATGCTCATTCTGTTGGAATTTTCATCACAAGGATTTGACACAATTAGTGTTTTAAGACAATCTTATAAAGATGGACAGATGCCTTCCTAAAACAAGTGGACCTCTGAAGAAGGGCTGTGACCTGTGCCAGTGTTTATTGTTTCTTTCTGTGAACTAGTTATATACCTATTTAACAACACTTCATTGAAAGTGTTTCATTTTCTGGGGTGGAATTGAGGTTCTGAAATGCAGGATTTACTCTCTATATGCTGGCAATATGTTGCTCAGTTAATGCCTGTGGCTTTTTTTGAAGATTGTGATTCTTGTCATGCAGCACTTGATAGTTTTTCTGCAGCTTTGTTTCTGAAAATTTTTTTAAGTGTTTGGAATACCTTTTAGAAAAAGCTTCTATAAAATTCTCAGGTGTCCCCCTTGCCATGAAGACAGGCACACTTTTGCCCTCTGCTCACTGTGATAAAATAGACCCTGTAGGGAACTTGTAGTAAAAGACTGTTCCATGAATGGCATCAGTGACTCATCTGCAGAGAGGGAGCATCACAAGTCTGTGACTAAAGAGTGAAACAAAAATACACACTGGTACATGGGAAAATAAAGAGAACCTTTACAGCATTGGAAAGGTGATGCTTTGTCATATGGTTGAGTGATGCTGGTTTTCTCTTGAAAGGAAGGGTTGTCAGGTCTCAACATCTCTTTTCAAAAAACTCAAAGATTAATTCTCAGCTAAAAGATACTATAAAAGGAAGAAAAATGAAGGAAAATAGTTGTTTTTAAGGTGTAGCTGAATCTAAACTCCTTGCTGTAAATGCTGGTCATGTTCTTCGAACACTCTATTTTACTTCTGTTTGCAGGAACTTTGTTTCCTGTAGTTTTCTTTTGATAAAATCAAAAAGTGCAGGCAATGCCACCTACATGTGCTTTTGTTTGTTTTCTTATTATTGGACAGTATTTATGAAAACTATTGAAAGTCTCTACAGTGAGTACTTTATGCTTCTGCTCCCTCATATGTAAGCCAAAAGCTAGATCTACACCTTTCAGTGGAGAACCCGTACACTGAATTGATATTTTATTTCTTCTGAAGAGCAAGAGTTCTCAACAGCATTCAGAAGGAGGTGGAGTAAGAATTTGTAACATCTTTTGTTACAATACAGTTACAGCAAGTTTCATACTGAATACTTACCTACTATCCACCAGGTGATACTTTTGTTTTTCACCAGCTTGGCCACATTTAATCAAGGTTTTCCTTTTGTCTCCACTGTTACCCAGTGATGAAAACATAAAAGGGTAACAGGGACTCTGGTTATTGAGTATGCTGCAAAAGTACAAAGAAACAGAAGTGAATGAGAAAAGGGAGGTTTCATTGTTTAATAATCTTAATTCCTCTCTCTTTTTGGGGTTTCAAAACAAGCTTGCCTGTAGCTTCATGTATTTTTTTTAATTTTATAATCTTCAGAGCAGTTATAGGCATCTAATATTTTTCATGTGCAGTTTCCTAGGGGACACACCATGATTTGAGTTGCAGGTATGACCTTGTTCTATTTTTTCTGCACAAACCATGCTGCATTGAGTAGCAGTTGCAATGATCTGAAATGGGATGCGAGGGGGCCAGCTCTCGCCTGCTCACAAATATTGGGTGCAGGTTGGATGAGCATAAGCAGGCAGCCCATTGCTTAAAGAAGCAAGTATGAGTCGTGAGTATGAAGCAGCTGCCTTGTTTTGTGCACACTGTTTGATCTGTGCTGTTGTGGATTTTTCAGATCTTCTGGAAAATCAGTCTCAAGAGCTTGAAAGCAAAACTACAGCCTAAGTGTAAGAGGAGGCAGAGGGAGCATGCTGTCTTGGGGCACCTGTTTTTGCCATGCAACAAGTAGTTGCTGCTGCATTCCCACTTGGATGGGTCTGTGAATGAAAAAGTGAAAGGTGTGAGAGAGGTGCTATTTCATTTAGGAAATTCTTTTTTTTTTTGAGTCTAGAGACATAAACACCAATCAGAAAGTTTGATACTGCAGTAGTTAAGTACTGTTTCTATATGATCCAGGTTTGTTTTGCTTAAATGCCAACAGAGATGTTCTTGGACACTACTGAAAACACTTTCTGTCTTCCACTGTTTGAGCATTATACAGTGCAGAGAGATACACCCTGATTACCTTTTTACCTGCCTTTCCACACAAAAGGAGAAGGGTATGTCCCTAAGTGGAAAGGTTGTGTGCACAGCCTTATCTTTTGAATGTAAGGAATAGTTAATTCTCAGATCTGTAGATATTTGTAGAAAGTTGCCCTGCAGCTACATCTTGTCCCATTAATGACCTGACATCCCAAACCAAACATGCATTTCCCAGGGGTGTCCTCACACAGGAAAGAGTTTGCCTTTTATCATGCCCTTTGACTACTGGACTTGAAATGACCTCTTCTGGACACATGTGGTTTGCCTCCTCTAGGATGAATGCTTCTGAGCAAAAATAGAAGACCACACAGTAATGAAACAAGTACAGTGTTCAGTCTGCTCCCCAGTTTTTTAGCCACTGACAAATATGTATATATGTAGTTCCAGATTCCAGGAAAGAGACATAAAGGAAGTAATCAGTAATAAATGAAGTGTGTATTGACAGGTGAAAGACTACAGTGTACATCTGTGTAACATTGGGTTAGGTGACAGAGCCCTGTTTCCCTAATGAAAAAACTGTGGCATTAGAGATCCAGCATGGATATCCTTACAGATTTTCTCTCTTTACAATTGATTATTTCAGTACAGGGTGGTCTGGGCTTCTGCTAAATAAATGCCAGATGCCTGAATGTGAATCAGTTGTAGTCAGAGGAGCTTTGTTTTTCTATTATCAATCCACAGAAGGCTGACTAAGTCAGATGGATGCTCTCCCCACTAGTAGTAAAGTTGATGAACCAAGCCTTGTTGAGACATAGTGTACTTACCTTGATAAATCTTCACTGTGTATTTTAGTGGTGGTACTATGTCTTTATAATGATCTAGAGGAGAAGCCTTACAGCTTGCATGTCCCTGCACTTTCCAAATCCACCCCAAGGTCCGGAGGCCTGACCCAGCCTAACAGTGCCCTCTGAGGCTCCGGGGCTGCCTGTCAAGGAGAGCTGTTGCACATGTGCGGATCACTGGGCTGCAGCTGCTCAGAACTTTTAAGTGGGTTTTGTTTTGAGCTGATTTTGGTTTTGTGGTTTTTTTTTTTTTCCACTCTGAATATTGTCTTTAGATGTGACTGCAAAGCTGTGGTCCTTAGTGTATGCTTACCTACAGCTTTGGACTAACATTATGTCCAGGCAGTCTGAAGCCAGCAGCATTTCCTAGGATATCTGTCTATTGTATTGAATGTTGAAATTTCTCATGCCACAGACATGGCATCAGCATAGGCCACATTGCAGGTGTCTGTTTCTGAGCTCCACTGACTTGATGTGAACTTCTAAGAAAGCAGTTTTTAAAGAACTGGTTTTGAGATCCAGACCTCTTCTGCTTCCTCTCCTGGTGCCCCTGCAAAAACGGTCTGCTCTGAGGCTTGCATTCTGGCAGACATCTGTTCACAGCACTGCTTGGAAAAGAAGATGTGGTTGTGTGGAAGAGCAGGGCTTCACTTCAGATAAATTGCACTGCTGTAAATGTGGTCTACTGGCAGGGCAGATTTGCTGCTTGTTTGTTTCTTTCTTATACTATGGCAACAGCCTGTTCCTTTATTTACACACGTCTCACTTTTATTTTAGTATTGTTTGGTATTTTTGATATTTTTTATTTTGGTAATGTTTGCATTTCTGTTGCAGTTTAGGTGTTGAGGAGTTCTAGGCATATAAATATGTTGTCACTTTCTCATAGTCTTGAGACATGAAAAAATAGAGATAAAAAGTCAGATAAATTGAAAAACTGTGAACCACAAGAACTCTGAGTGTAACCATTATGGCCTCTAGGCCATGGATCCAAATGCTATTTCCATCCTTGATCTCCTGCTTCCTTCACTACCTTACAGTCTCTGCTTGTCTGGCCCTGCTTGCTGTGGAGCAAAGCCACTGCACATGCTCCAGCACACGAGTCCTAGCATCCTTCCCCCTTGTCAGAATTTGCACATAAGTCTAAGTGCTGTCCTTTGTCCGTCTGTACAATGCAGATGGATGCAGACTGGTTACTGCTGTTTAACAGTGGGAGAATTTGTTTTTATGGGTGAGCATGTCTTTGAGGCACTGCGGTTCCTTGTTTGTGGGGCAGGCAGGCACTGGGTCCTCAGAAGGCAGCTGCAGTCTCACAGAAACTTATTTTCAGTAGGCTGGAGCACGTGTGCCAAGATATCCTGGTGATCACTTCTTCAGATTTCTTCTTGATTTTTGAACAGTTTCTTTACTGCATAAAAGTATTTGAAGAGCATGAGCAGGGGTACAAAATTAAAAAAGCAGTAACTTTGGATAAAGGCTTTGACATATAAGCACTTTAACTAAAAATTGACAGCTGAGTTATATCCAGAGTGTAAGATACAAAGCATGAAAATTACTAGATTGGGTTGTAGGGAAAATGCCTTCTACTTTTTTGATACTGCATTGTATTTATTGTATATCAGTATGCAATCAAATGTTAGGTTCTCTACAACCTGTAATAATATAGGAAGCAATGAAAATGGGAATGCTAAAACCCAAACACATTGATCCAGAAAAATAGCCAAAAACATAAGTCACTAGTTTAAATTTATGAGTCCATATTTACATGGGCAAAAGCAATCTTGTATTACCTTTGGATTATATTCAGAATAAAGAATTAAAATTCATAAGCAGCAGATGTGATTAAACTTATCTGTTAGAAGAGTCCATAAGCATCTGTCTGTCGCACTGTTGATTGGTACTCAGTATTGAAAGACTCAGTAACTATTGAGTGAGTTTGTAGCAATCTAGTTACTTGTATTGCCAGCTTTGTAATGAATATGAGCTTCTTTTGTGTCTTTGTCAGAATTTCTACCTGGCGAACAAAGGGAAGAAAGAAAGCAAAGAAATGAATGATAAAAACAAAGAGGCTTTGCTGGAGGTAAGACAAATTATTAGGCTGCTGATGCAAATGTCACCAAAACTGCCACTATTTGCATCTGCTCTGCAGAACTATCAACATGTAGTTAGTTCTTTGTGGGAAATAGTGTAACAACAGGAAGTTCTGTGGTCATTTGTGTCTTTGTATCTCCGGTTAAATATGTTGACTTTCCTCTGCATCAGCTGCTCCTCATTAAAAATGCAGATTATTCACTCTTACACCAGCCCTTGGGACCTCTTATTGTTAGTAAGGTTGATCAGTACCAATCAATCATCTTTAGGTTAGAAGTGGATTTACTTCTCAACTTATTAGCTGTACTACAACGGAAAAAGACATCTTCACTTTCCCAGAAAGTCTGTTTAATATCTTGCCTTTCCTGCTCAAGTTTTCCTTCAGATGTATGCTCAAAAGAGAAAAATCCAGAGTTATTTGAAACAAAAGAATTGCCACAGTTCTCCAGGCAAGCAGCTCTGTAAAAGCTCACAAAGGAAATGCTTTTCTCAGACGACAAAAACTCTCATTTCAAAATTAAGGCTTCCGATGTTAACCAATGGAAATCTTGGTAAATTCTAAATGAAAACATTAAGTGATAAGTCTGTTTGCATTAAAAATTACCCAACAGTAAGTCCTTCAAGCAAACAATGAGTATATCTGATTAAACAGTGTTTTAAATGCTAGTGTGTATTTGAAAGTGAAGGCAGATATTGAGCTGTTTTTAGAGCTCTGAGCATTCTCTAAAGAATCTCTCTGCCAATGTGTTCCTCTGCAGTCCCTAAAGAATGTTCCTACCAAAGTATTTCTCTACAGAACCTATAAACACTGCAGTAGAGGAAAAAACCCAACAGTATCAACCACTCTGTTCTACAGCCTTCACTGAGCACATCTATGTCTAGTTAAAAGCCTTTGTAGGCTTTTGCTTGACCCTAAAGGATGGAGGTTTTGCAAGCCTTCTTTATCAGTGTGTGAGCACCCAGTATTCACCTGGAAAAGTTTCCTTTGCCTAAGATGTTCATTTCCCTATTAACTGCACTCCCCGTGTTCATATGTTAACTGTCACAAGAAATGTCTTTATTTTTCAAGAGAGCATTTTTCTGCTATATCTTGATAGGATTGTTCTTAATGGATTTATTTTGTGCATTGTTATTCTTGTTGCACAGGAAAGCTTCTGTGGGACATCTGTCATTGTGCCAGAGATTGAAGGGGCCCTTTATTTAAAAGAAGATGGAAAAAAGTCCTGGAAGAGGCGTTATTTTCTTCTACGAGCTTCTGGAATTTATTATGTACCCAGAGGAAAAACCAAGGTCAGGAAGCCAAATAGTCCTTTTAGCAATAAAACAATTCATGGAAGTGAAAGTGTAGAACTCCCAAGGTGACATTTGAAGAGCACTGTCTGGTGCGTCTGAGGGCTCAGATTTCCCTGGTTCAACTTTGGCTATACCACTTGTGCAAATGCTAGAATGCAGCCACTGAATCCTGTCACGTTTGTCTCCTTTTGATTTCAAGGGATAGATAAAAGCATTAATAAAATAGTGCTCCTCTGGAAGGCAGGAGGGGAAAGAAGAACAGCATAGCACCCATCAGCTGGTGGTGAGCTGCAAAAATGCTTCACTATTATGTGGGTTCCCTGTGAAAGAAAATCTTACAAAGTTGTCAAGTAAACTAATTTTGTGTCACAAAAAACGTAGAATTTTACTTTGCTTGATGCAGACTTTCTGCACCAGTAACCAGCACATGAAATGCTGTAGTTTTTTAATACAATGATCTCTACCTAGAGAATGTGTTGTGTCTTTTATGGCATTTTAAGGCTGCCTTTTTTGTAGAAAGAAGTGAGTCAGAAGCATCTATCTGGCTGAATCAAATTTACTTACATTTAGTATTACAAAATATTTAGAGAGTCTGAATTGCCAGTGCTGGATGCATTACACGTAGGGGTAGCTGGCTTTTCATTTCACAGTGATGAGGTAGAACAGTGGATTCTGGGACTGGTGATATTTTTTTGTGTGTGTGTGTGTTTGTGTGTGTTCTGAAAACTACTTCTGTAACCACTTACAGCTCTGCTAATGCTTCATATTTAGAAATGCTGCTGCTGGTGAAGCTTTACTGTTAGGTTTTGTGCTTTGAAACTTAACTCTTCTGCTATTTCCAGACTAAAGTACAAAGGAAAAAAAAAAAAAAACCACGTAAAGGGGTCTTGTGCTGCTGCTCCATGGACCTATGTTTATAACCAAACCACAGTGAAACACAGATCACCTTGCAATTTATTTTGACTTTACCTGACCCTGAGATAATGGCATTCATGCCTCAAATCATGTTGTACACACAACATCCTATCAATTAGGATCTAGAATGTTATTTAGAAGGCACTTAAGGTGTAAAAAGTGTAAGAGTAGTCAAATGCAAAGTCCATCTTGGACATTTCCTTGTAGCATGCCTCCAACAATGACCAGTAGTTAAAATGCCAAAGCAAGGCAAGCGTGTCCTGAGAGTTACTCAGCCTTGTTTCATCATCCAGTGATACCTGGTTCCAGTGACTTTTCATCACAGTGCAAATGAGGGAAGTGCTTTCTTTTTTCATGTGATAGGCTGTAAACACAGGCTCAGATGTAGCAACACAGTCCCCTTGTAACAGCTGTTTAACACTTTACTGCCCGTTCATCATTACAGCCTGTGTACCACCCTGCCTATAACTGAGCAGTTTTGGGAATTGTATGCTTTAAAGTCACTATATTACCACAACAAATCTAGTTCTTTGGAAGATAGTCACAGCTCTTTAAAATGGTAGCACAGTCATCTGTTTGCTCCTGCATCTGTAACAGCCTTCAGCGAAAGGATGCCTATGCCCATGTCTTAGCCATTCCAGAGAAAGTCAAGGCTCTTAGTTCAAATTTGTGCTTAATGGTGATCTCAGTGATTACTGCACTCTGTATTGGAACAGCTGAGGATGAGGTATACATGTCTGTTATGGAGATCTAATCTCTGGGACATGAGCAGGATGCTGTGAGGGTGTTAAACATCTCAAAGCACTGCAGTAGAATTCAGTAGAGCTCTTCAGTCAAAGCCCTTAAATTATGAGAGTTCATCCCTTATCAGGGTAGCATGAAAAGTGCACGTGCACCTTGCACATCATTCAGTTGTGGGCAGAGCAGTCTTTCTTTGAGGTACAGAAATGAACAGTTGGCAGACAACATTATCTTCAGCTGCTGCAGCTGTTTTAAAATTCATCCAATATATTCCTGTTTTCAGTATTTACAAAAAAGCAAAGACATCTGGCATACTTTTGGCACTTTGTGCTGGCTGCAAAATACATGGCAGAAGTGAAAATACAGGGGCACATTCAGATAATTTTATACACATGCTTGTGGTGTTTTTTGTTTCAGGGTTATTTGTTAACAAACCAGCACCAGTCAGCACTGCTGTCTTAATTTCTTTCTTCAGCATTGCTCTACTTACATCCCATTCAAAAACGTGCGGTTAATGGACAGGGTCACAAAACAAAAGCATCAGAATAAAAGATAATTAAAAAATCTATTTCTGTTAATTGTGTTGCTTTGTCATGTTAACGTTGCTGTGTCATGTTAACATTGCACAAATACTCACATTAAGAGTCTTTGTCCCTTGCATAAAAAATCTGTTCCTTAGAAGACAATAACAACTGCATTCATATTGGTCTTAATCACTATTGCCGGATTCCTAAAGGAAAGGAACAACACATACTGGATGGATTTGAGCACATTTAGGAACTTAAGAATGTTTGAAAAAACGAGGTCCACACGCTCACTGGCAAAATCTCTGGCATCATCAGCTGCAGCAGAGACAGGAGAAAGAGAGAAGTCCTGTCTACATCTAGTAGGAAGTGTTTCACCACATATCTTCCTTGCAAACTCAGTTTGTAAATAAAGCCATCTCAAGGGTATATTGGAATGAAAATATCATTAAGAATGAGAACAGCAGACAAGAAGCATCATATGCATATTATACTCCCAAATAATTTTATACCCCATTTTTAGGGATAGAGAGAGCTTGTGGTTTGTTGTTTTATTTTTCCTTTCCCCCCCCCCCCCCCCCCCCAACAATTTCCTGATTTCTCAGTTTAGCCAGCGGTGAACATGTGAAATGGCTATTTATGCATTTCCACACAAAGGATTGCAAAAGCTACTGTACACAGAATTCATCACTGAGAAACATGCCAGCAACAGAAACCTTATTACTTTAGCAATATATTGTGAAAAAGCAAACATTAGGATAAACAGAAATTGAACGAAGCCAAGAAATTTGAGAAAATTCAAAGCAAAACAGATTAAACAAGTGCTTATTTCCTGGTGAGGGTTTGTTTATTACAAGTACAAAAGAAAAACAAGGTCCCAAAGCAATTTGGAACCCCAAACCTTTTTTCTCCACTCAGAATTTTAAGGATGTGGTTTATTACTGTGGTGTTCTGTTTGTCATATTAGACATAAGCTAAAATCTCCACACAAAGCAATGAAGCACAGCATAACCAGAACAAGAGCAAAATGTTGAACTGTGTTATAGATCATTCATAATATGTACTGACCCTCTTCCAATTTTTATTTTAAGAAAGCAGACACTTAAAATTAATCCTTGTTTTTTCAGTCAGCTTCACTGGCATTCATGCATTTGATAAAGGTCCTATTAATAAGTTTCACATAAAAATTCAATTTGCTCTAACAATGATAGGCTTGGTTTTCATTTGTAGACATCACGGGATCTGGCATGCTTCCTTCAATTTGAGAATGTGAACGTGTATTATGGTTATCAACACAAAGTGAAATATAAGGCACCTACAGATCACTGCTTCGTCTTAAAGGTAATGTACAAAAAAAAGTTCTGCAAATGTCGCAGAGTTTCTTTTGCATGCAAACATGTTTCAGTTTAAATCTCCAAGGATCCTGGTAAGATAGAGTAACTCCTGCAAAATCATGTGCAATTTCTTCTTTGCCTCATTGTTATCAGCAACATACATTTAGGACCTTAATTTTATTACTGATAGTCCTGTGATTAATGTCTACACTTCATCCTAAAGTTGTCTTCAAAACAGGGTTGAAAATGCTGACTGTTCAGGTGACTGGACACGTTTGGGCAGATGACACCCAGGGCAGATGTATGATGAGAAGTCTGGTAGTCTCTAATTTTGGTGTTATGAGCACTATGGATTATACACCAAAAAGCATGTCTACTTTTTTTGTGGTCTGGTCATACCTGTTGAGAGGTTTGTTGAACTGAGATGCAAAATTTTGCAGGAATAGACATCTCCTTTGTCATATTTTATTGCACTGCTGTTTCTGGCAGGAAGGCAAAATACATTGCTCATCCACTCATGAAAATCAATGCTTGTTCTTCAATAGTATCTCATTGCTGCCTCTCCAGGTAATAGCACTGCAAAGAGTCTGGGAATTCTGCATTCCTCTCAGGAAAGGAAAAGAAACCCATGTTTTTCACCTAGTTCAGACAGCAGAAATGAAGCTTTGAGGTTGTAGCAATTTAGCCTCGCTTGCTATCTGTCCTATCACTGTGTACAAGACAGAAGATAATTTTGTTGCTGCTTTTCTTTTTATAGGCGTGCAGTGTGAACAGATTATCAGAAAACCCAGTATCTTGCCATCTCAGAAAAAAAAGTACAGGAAACATTCATATCAGAGGTCAATTACAGCACCACATTTCTGGTTGTAGTTGCACACTTTTTTATTCAGTTCCAAAATGTATGCTAGCCTAATTTGCATAAGGCCAAGCAGAAGTGGTTTCTAGACACAGATTTATTTTCTAATTAGATGTATCTAATTAACACAGATGAACAGTTTTAGTCCTATAGTCCTCCACAAAACACTCTACAAGAAACACAGGTGAGCTTTCAGAAGTTAACAGGTAAGCATTGCTTCTGGAAAGTACAACCTTTAGTGAAAAAAAAAAAGGAAAAAGGGAGCTGATGTAAAAACAAGGGGAATTTGTTTTTCTAAACAGATGACTGGTTTAAGAACTGTCTGACTAATTTAATAGCAGTTATTCACATTCTGTTCAGATGAAATTAAAAGCATGATTTTTTAATGCATGTAGCAATGTGTTTAACTGTTCATAATAGTTAGATAACTTTCTGGACTTGCTGCCATATTTTCTGGAAAGAGTTATGCTCTTTACACTAGGAAAAAGTCACACCTCAACTGAAATGCTTGCTTATTTCCTGTGTGATGTTAGTGCTGTAGCTTCAATGTGAAAGTGGAAGAACAAGATCAAAAGCTTACACACGAAAGCTTAATGTATAATAGGTTTATAAATGTATGAATCCTACTTAGCAAATCGTGTTTGCTCTTATGCTTCTAAAATGTGTTTGCAGTACCCTAGAAAAAACATTGTATCATTAATTATTTCTGAACGATGTAACTTAGTGATGAATAGATTATATTACAGTGCTTGTTCTTCCTTTTAATTACTACAAATCATCATTTGGTAGATTCTTTACCCACTCAGTTTCAGACTTGGCTTTTTTAATGGCTGACTTGCAGGGGCTGGAGTTGGTCAGGAAGTACAGGCAAATACTGATATCTTCATATTTCTGTTGTTTCAGAAGTGAAAGTCTCCCACTTAGGGTGGCTTTCTGAGGGTGGTGGAGAGTTTAATATTTATTATAATTTCTGTACATTAATTTGAGTTCTATATATAAATAGAGTATTAATTCTACTTTTTAAAGCCATGCTGCTGAAATTAGTTCTCTGATATCCTTGGCTTACCTTTGGAGGTTGTAGCTGAGGATGTGATACATCTTGAGATCTGTGGGCTGAGGGAAAGAGCAAAGTTAAATGTCAGTCTCTCTGATTGGATCCTTGGTGACACAAAAGTGTGTGGACGGTAACACTGAGCCATTTATCACACTTAGTCACATTTTTGTCCTGTCTGGTTTGATCTGTAAATCTCCCAGAAGAAAATATCTCTCTTGCTGGGAGACACTTGTCCTGACGTGTCAAAGGAAAACAAACCATCATTCTTGAGATATTTCTCATCCTGCCGTATTTTGCAAATGAAGTCCTCAAGAAGAAATAACAGTACTCTCACAGACAGGTGCAGTGAGGAAAAGGCAATGGATTTAATGGGTAAACATCTGTTTTTATGTACAGGAAGCCTAGTAATTTTGAAGGAATTTGGATGCCCAGTTCAGTCCAAGACAGCTGGAAATTTCTCCACAGCCAAGGCTCTGCTGTGTCTTCACAGCTCTTCCATTCCCCTATGTGTGCCTTGCCACAGAGGGCAGGATAAGATTATCTGTCTTACAACAAATGGAGGAAGGTAATTGAAAGAGTAGCAGCCACAGCCCATGCTAGCTGTTCTCTGAGGTGGCTGTAAAGCAAAGGAAATAATTGGGGGAAAAGAGTCTGGAAGCCCTTATTAACTCTGGCAAGCTGTAATGCCGCTTGGAAAGTTTTTGAATAACATGACACTAATTTTTTTAAGAATTTAAAAATTTTAAGAATTTAAAAATTTCTTTCTGAGGACCCCCTTAGGAACTGCTGTGTCAAAACAGTGAACAGTCATCAGCCAAGTTACTTGCTCTGCTGTGTTTCAAACATAACAAAAGAACCTGGCCAGCTCTGAGGCAAGAGCTTATACTTTACAGTACAGGAGAAATGCAAGGGTGTAATGGCTTCAGCAGTACTTTGCTTCTGTGTTAGGTGGAAAATCCTGCTGAATTCAGAACTATATTTTCAGCTTTGAGAACTGTGTTGAAAAAATGCCATATTCATTTGTCAGTGGTTAAGCTATTGGCATCTTTACTTCAAAAACAGGGACATTTGTTCATTCAAATGGCAGCAAATGGCCAGTAAGGTGAGCTGGTTTGTAGTTGAATATGGCCTAATACTTGAAGGAAGTGTTCTTTCTTTTCCTCCAGTCCCCAGTTGTATGATGAGCCTTCTAAAAATATAATATATATATATATATATATTTGTAGTAGTTGTTCCTGCTTTAAAGGTCTTGTCTCACATTAGCAGGGGGAAAAGAGAAAACATTTCCTTTTGCCTCCTGCCCTGTCTTGGTCATCTTGATGCTGTGTCTTTATGGAGGGAAGAGCACTCAGGAAAAATGAGCAGAGCATTCTTGCCATTTTTACATCTATTCTCCAGGCATTGCCAAGAATGTAAAGAGAATGTAAACACTGTAATTAATGCTAACTACAGTCCCAGTGACCTACATGTTTTTAGCCAGAACAAGATTTTTCCGGTTGACTGACACAGCCCTGAATAATATGGGTGTTGCCTCAAAGTCTTCATGACATTTCTTTGACTGTGGCTTCACTTTGATCTCTCTAAATGGGATGTGGGCTTTTTCTCCATTTTCTTCTCCTTGGCTACAGTTAGGTATGGGGCTTTCAGAGACAGTGAGCTTTTGGTCATAGTGCCTGTCCCAGCTAACATGCATCCAGTCACCAGGAGCTGCTCCCTCTCTCCTGTTTTCTGTATGATCTAGGTGTTTCATTGCAACTTCAGTGGTCATATCTGGGTTATGTAGCTAAGGCTGGCTTGGGTGCTGGTATTAGTGTAGCAACAATATCATGCATATCATGGGCAGGTTGCTTTCATACTTAGCCTGAAGCTGTGGTGGTTTTTGCAGCCTGGGATATTGGAGCTGCATCTAAACTAGCTAAAATATAAGTATTCTTATCTGCAGATCTGTGCTGTAGGATATTCCTCTTACAACTAGAGAAGTACCATGTGTTGTGAGTGTTCCTTCTTTATCATTTGTTCCCATTATGTCAGCATCTCACTGTATATACTATACTTCAGCACGAAAATGGGATGTTCTTTGCTTATTTGTTAATAATCAAGATACTGAGGAGATAATAGGCAAAAGGGTGGGGTGCCAGAAGCAATTAAAAGAGGGAGCATTTTGCTGAGCTTATTCAGAAGTTTCCTTTCAGGATGATTCAGGAGACAACTGCAATAACAGAACAAAGCAGCTACTTCCTCATATCAGGCAGCAGAAAGCCCAGCTGTGACCAACCAGAAAGAGCACAGCTGGCTGGCTGGAGGTGAGAGCAGGGCCACCTTCAGCTGTGCATGTGCAGCAGACCAGGACTGATGTGGCAGGATCCTGAGGGCAAGACTGCAGCCTGGCACAGAGCCTCCAGTGGAGTTGGCTTTTGGGAATCCTTAGGCTTTGGGGCAATTAAAAACTTGAGGAACTCTGTTTTATTTCCCAGTGGCTATATAATCTGTGCTGAGCTTTAAACTTCTTCAGTGCACTTGTTCTATATCACTGCTAAATAAACCTTCCTCCCTCAAAGGAAGTCCCACATTTCAAAACCCAGGAACAACACAAAGAACTCTCAGAATATTAAAAACAGAGCCTCTAAGAAATAATTTTTGGACATCTGCTCTTGCAAATGTGCAGATTCTTCCTATTTTGTACTCAGCCTGTCTAATGCTTTCATAAATTTAAAGATCCCACCCTTCTCTTTGACATCAGATGAAGTGAGTCTTTTCCTAATAGAGATCTCCATATGCAGAGAAGAGGAAAGAAAAGGTCAGCCAAGTTTGAAAAAAGACCCTCACTCAAACCTGCATCTCTCAAGTTTGGATTTGTCACTCTGTTCCCAGCAGAGGAGGCAGGAGAAGATCACAGCACAGCTGTCCGTGCCACCCTGCACAGAGTGCTGGCCACTCCTGGGAGAGCAATGGTGAGGGAACAAAATTCTCTCTGCTTTCCAGCAAAACTATTTTCACACACTGCACACAGCAAATAGAAATGGTTTAATTCCTCAGAGCCCCCTTTGCATTTAAAAATGTGTGGTTTTATATCTAGATTCCCTGAATTTTCTCATTC